AGCATTCTGGCATTCTGTTTCGCTATCTTGTGCTACGTGAATGAGGTCAGTCCCGGTCAGGTCAGGATTTGTATCTAAGTCTTCCCTGCGCTATTCGGCCTCATTTTGTATGTATTGGAATGCACATTGCTTGTTGAGATTCTACTTGCACTGCATTGTCCATTCAGTCCTTTTCATTGCATTGCAGATCCTCGGTTCTTATGTACATCGCCCAACTGGGCATGTAACACCTGCCTCTACTCATTATCCCGATCCCTCTCCACTCCTTCCCGATGTTGCCCTGCCTCTACTCATTATCCCAATCCCTCTCCACTCCTTCCCGATGTTGCCCTGCCTCTACTAATTTTCCCGATCAGGAGAGAAAAACGAAACCACTATAGCCTGTTTCTCCCATTTACCCCTCCCCTCTCCCTCCCCTGCCCCCCCCCCTTTCTCTTTCTCTCTCTCTCTCACAGATACACACACACACACACACACACACACACACACACAATCAGTTTTATGTATGTTAGTCTTTCTTCTATTGTCTGTCCTCCTCCTGATTTTTTCTGAATATTGTTTTTGTGTGCCCAACTGAGCACCCTCAAGTAGTGCCAAACAGTCGGTGGTTCCTCGTTTGGAGTGCCTACTGCACTCTTATGGGGGCTGCTCGGTTCGGGATGTCTGTGTTGCCTGTCGGTGATGACGGATGTTCGTCGGAGTGACGCCCTGGCTCAGCGGGTGGTGGAAACCAACAGTCTGCGGGGTTCAATCGTGATGTGAGTAGGTCATGTGCTGCTTTGCTCCGTGTTGGATGTGTGGACGCCCTCGTCTGCGCTCCGCCGCTGGCCTGCTGCCTGCCCCGCTTGCTTCGCATGTGGCTCTCTGTAAATTGCTGTGTTCGCTGTGTGGTGTGGCTGTGTTGTCGGTGGTGCCTTGCGCTTCGCCGTTCCACTGCCTTGCTGCCCGTCCGCTGGTCCTGCCTTCCGTGTCTTTTGCTTGCGTGCCTTGCAGTTTGGCTGCCCTGTTGGTGTTGCTTCGTGCTTCACTGCATGGTTGTCGGGCTGTTTGTCCGCTCGCCCTGTCGTTCCTTGCAGTGTGGTTGTGGTGCTTGTGTTGCCTTGCGCTTCACTGCACGGTTGTTGTGCTGTTCGTCCACTTGTCTTGTCGTTCCTTGCAGTCGCCTTTGGTGTTGTGCAGTTAAGTGGCTTCAGGTGTGTTGCCTGGTGCTTCACATAGTTGTTGCTCACTGCTGTGCTTTCTGCGTTCCTTCCTGGTGGGTCGTGTAGTCTGGCTACCTTGTTGGTGTTGCCTTGTGCTTCATTGCAAGGTTGTTGTGCTGCTCGTCCGCTTGCCGTGTAGTTCCTTGCAGTCGTTTTATGGCATTGTGCAGTTGAGTGGCTTCAGGTGCGTTGCCTGGTGCTTCACAGAGTTGTTGCTCCCTGCTATGTTCCGCTTGTGGGCAATCTGCCTTCAACAAGGGTCAAAGGGTTCATGACCCAAACCATCCAATATGAGGATTCCGCAGATTGTCGAGTGTTCAGCCTCCTGATGAGTCGGTGCAATTCCGACGAAACAGTCTGTCATCACCAGCGTTTGCTTATTTTATTTTTTTCGCTCTCTGTTTTTCCAACTTGGTATCAGTACTTCATGCCTTTTTCGTTTGTTGCTTTGTGTTGGTTACCTGCCCCCCCTCCTTCCCCATGTCCTCCACCCTATGTGACTTGCAAACTCTTGTTGTCCAGTGCCTTGTTACCTCGCCGTCAGTTGCCTCACCGTGTTTTGCCTTAACGGCCTTCGCATCGTGGTATTCCATGGGTATCTTAGCCGGGTGCTTGGGAACACCTCACCTTCTAATGAGCCTTGACGGGAGCAAGCGCCAAAAAGCGTATGAAGGGATGTGTCATCCCTCCTCGGTTGGTCACTACACCAACCTTGATGGTTATGCCATCGTTGCTCCCTGCTCCACCTAACACCCTAAACTGCTCCCCTCTAATTAATCCTCCATTTTCCTATGGAGTTGATGACTATGGGACAACCCTTCCCCCTAACCTATGCTATGTTAAGACTGCAGCTAACACTACGTGATGCTACGTTTGGACTGAAGGGTGGTCTGGTTCCCCATGATTATGGGGCTGCCGTGTTATACACACCCATCACACACACACACACACACACACACACACACAGACACACACTCGCCAAAAAAAAAGGAAAAGAATGAAAATGGATAAACGATCCAGCCACGTGGCTACAACATGTGACGCCCCTCCCCCCCCAAACCCTCCCCGCGTGAAGCTGCTCGAGTTTCCAGCCACGTGGCTGCAACATGTGATTGATGTGATTATTATCTTACCTTGTCCTCGTAAATCATGCTCATGCTCCTTATCTTGCATCTTCCTCGTCATCTTCATCTGTCAGCGTTGTCATGGTCGGGTGCTCTCTCT